AATTTTTAATCTTAATACCGATTTTCTCTGTGAAGAACCCTTTTGAACAACGGGGAGACGAGCACTTCGTTCTTCAATTTTTATGACTTCACTGAAGAATGTTTATGGAATACAAGACTTTTTATGTATTTTGTAGTCAAAATAAAAAGATGTCAAGTGAATAATAATTTTGAAAAATTTATCGGTTTCTTTTATAGAATTTTATTGAAGATAAATTTAATAACCTTAAACTTGTCGGATATCAAGAAAAAAAACTGAAAAAACTAATTGGTAATTGGTGATTACTAAATTAATATACCTAATTGAATTGAATACATACATATTTATGTGAAGTTGATCAGGCTTAGATAAACTAAAGAATCCAAATACATTGACTCTTGTTTTCCTTCTTAAATAGATTACAGTGGTCACTCGAAGGCGTAAGCAAATTAGGCCTAAACTAATTCGTTCACAGTTTAGAACTTTGTTCACTTTCTACAGAAGTTAATGTAAAGAGAGGTGCTCACATATCCAGCGTTTATTTAAGATAATGTTTATATATTCGGTAAAACTTTGTATATGCAGATTACTAGTAAAGACTTATATTGAAAAAAGCTTAAAATTGTGTACTTCAAAGTAAATATTTGAGATCTGAGTAAAACAAAGCCGTTGATCCTCAAATAACGTCATATAAGTCGTTTTTTGTTTCCTTGTAACATTTATGAAAACGCAACATACATATGAGTATATCTCTTTATTCAGTATTTGGTAATAATAATGCATCACCAGGTTTTAGCCTGACAGAACACTTTCTTCCAAGCACCTCTGATATATACGCCCCCACTCCAGTTCACGTCAAGCGTTGTTAGTGCTCTTCGAACTTTATTACTCCACAGGAGACAAAATTTGCTCCTACGTTTTTGTCCATCTTTCACCTTTTGAGCATTGTCATCTATTTTCACACATAATCTAGCTGCTAGATGTTGATTCGCTGAATGATATCAAGTTCGTATAGCTCGTGCCCCATTCGAATGCACTAATCGTCAACAACTCTTAGAGGACTGAAGATATTACGAAGAACTTCTCTTTTTCGAATACACTAAGCGCTGTTTTATTCCTCTATAATATAATCCATACTTTTGGATCGTACAGTAGAACAGGTAAGATGAATAATCTATAGAGTGCAAGTCTTATTAATCGAAAATTAGTTCTAAATCCCAAATACCACTGATCCCAAAGTAACAACTATTAAATTATTTTTCTAATGCCGAGTTTTGATATTGTTATTATTATAGTAGTTACAGTGGTTCAAAAATATATAAAATCCTTAACAGTTGAGAAATTATAGTCTTATTATATTATAGACGAATATTTCTGCCAGTGGTTTTCTAAATTCTGCACTCTTCTTGAATTCTATTGTACTTATTCACTCACTTGTCCTATAGTCTTTCACTTGAAATTCTGCACCTCATATATAAGTTTTTACGATGTTTCCTTAATGGTCAAACGATGAACACCTTAGTTGTTTCCATAAGCGCCAACTGATCCAAACCATTTTTCGTCAACAATACCAATAAATTGTCCGTCCAATAAATTTATGATTGACACATTTACTTTCATTGTTTGTTTTCCTTTAAATTGGAGCCGTACACTCTTTACAAAAACATCATATATATATATACCTTCTCCTCAAAAAGTATCCGGATTTTGTTGTTTCTTAACTACTCCTTAAGTAATAGATCTTTTTCAAAAATTTTTTGTTATGTTTTTATGTTGTGTTGATACATCCTTTCTTGACATATGGTACAAATTTGAGCACCATCTGTCAATTAGTTTGTTTACAGAAGCTGTTAAAGTGAGACTACCTTAAATGCATTTAGCGATTTTTACTATGGAAAATTCTTGTTGTATGCGATTTTTTGACCAAACACGGCACCACTGTCATCGCTCAGGCACCATATTCGCTAGATCTGGCGCCGTGCGACCTTTTCCTGTTCCCGAAACTCAAATTGACACTCCGTGGTAAGCGTTTTGAGTCGATTAAATCGATAAAAGAGAATTCGCTGAAGGAACTAAAAGCCATACCTGCACGGGCATATGTGTATTTGTAATAAAATTTAAATTTCTGTGTTTTATTTACAAAATCCGAGTACTTTTTGAACAGAAGATGTATATAATATTATATATATACAATGCTTAGATCTTTACATGTTTCCATAAGAGCCAACTGATTCAGATCATTTTTCATTATTAATACCAATATATTATCTATTGAATAAAAAAATATTTGTTGATTTGCATCCATCGTTTTTTTTTTATTCCTTTCATTTAAAATCCTACGTATCCTACATATATAAAGAATGCTAAGTCTAAGGAATGTTTTTATAATGGTCAATTAATTGATAACATTTTTCATCATTAATATCGAAACATTATCTATAAAATAAAAAAATATATGCTTTCATTATTTTTTTATTGTTTTCTTTTGAAATCCTATTTTCCTTCTTTCATTTAAAATCCTACTTTCCTGCTTTTATTTGAAATCCCACTTTCCTTCTTTCATTTGAAATCCTACTTTCCTTCTTTCATTTGATAACCTAATTTCCTCCTTTCATTTGAAATTCTACTTTCCTCCTTTCATTTGAAATTCTATTTTCCTTCTTTCATTTGAAATCCTACTTTCCTCCTCTTTGAAATCCTAGTTTCCCCCTCAATTAAATCCTACTTTCCTTCTTTCATTTGAAATCCTACTTTCCTCCTATCATTTGAAATCCCACTTTCCTCCTTTTATTTGAAATCCCACCTTCCTTCTTTTATTTCAAATCCTACTTTCCTCCTTTTATTTGAAATCCTACTTTCCTCCTTTTATTTAAAATCCCACTTTCCTTCTTTCATTTGAAATCCTACTTTCCTCCTTCCATTTGAAATCCCACTTTCCTTCTTTCATTTGATATCCCACCTTCCTTCTTTCATTTGAAATCCTACTTTCCTCCTTTTATTTGAAATCGTACTTTCCTTTTTTCATTTGAAATCCTACTTTCCTTCTTTCATTTGACATCCTAATTTCCTCCTTTCATTTGAAATTCTACTTTCCTCCTTTCATTTGAAATCCTATTTTCGTTCTTTCATTTGAAATCCTACTTTCCTCCTCTTTGAAATCTTACTTTCCCCCTCAATTAAATCCTACTTTTCTTCTTTCATTTGAAATCCTACTTTCCTCCTTTTATTTGAAATCCTACTTTCCTCCTTTTATTTAAAATCCCACTTTCCTTCTTTCATTTGAAATCCTACTTTCCTCCTTCCATTTGAAATCCCACTTTCCTTCTTTCATTTGATATCCCACCTTCCTTCTTTCATTTGAAATCCTACTTTCCTCCTTTTATTTGAAATCGTACTTTCCTTTTTTCATTTGAAATCCTACTTTCCTTCTTTCATTTGACATCCTAATTTCCTCCTTTCATTTGAAATTCTACTTTCCTCCTTTCATTTGAAATCCTATTTTCGTTCTTTCATTTGAAATCCTACTTTCCTCCTCTTTGAAATCTTACTTTCCCCCTCAATTAAATCCTACTTTTCTTCTTTCATTTGAAATCCTACTTTCCTCCTTTTATTTGAAATCCTACTTTCCTCCTTTTATTTGAAATCCTATTTTCCTTCTTTCATTTGAAATCGTACACCCTTTAGAAAAACATCCTATGACTTCTATCTTATATATAAACAATGCTAGTTTCAAAATAAAGTGACGATTTCTTATCAATTCAATGCTAATTATAGAATAGTAGTTGTATGTGAAGATTCCATATTAATTATTTATTTAAATTAATTTTCTTAATTCTTATTTTTAAAAATCTAGTATCAGTAAAATAAAATCTATAAAAAGACAATCTAATTAAAGCAGTTTCCAGTTAAAACTGTTAAAAGTTACTGGAAACGAACTGAAGGTCTTTCATTTCTCGACTTGAAACAAGAAACAAAATCTGTTGATAAAAATGTAATTCGAGCTAAAAGCTCCAAATCAAGTCTAAGCCGAGGCTAATAAATACTTTTAATTACGCTGCCCTGTGTTGTCTCCGCTTGCGTGTTAGCTGAATGGAACAACCACTTGAAATTTAAGATAGAAACTCAACACAAAAACAAACAGGCAAGTGCAGATAAACGATTGACAAGATCACCCATTCAAAAACTGAACTTAAAACTAGATCAGCTAACGCCAACTGAACATGAAATTAAAAGCCAAGCCAAGTACTGCGCCAAGCCGTGCTCTGCTGTGCTGTGCTGTGCTGTGGTGTGTTGCATTCAGTCAAAAACTGTACGAAATGAAATAATAGAAGAAAAAAAAAGTATCTCAAACAAAGCTTACATAAGAGATTTAGAATAGCAAAATCAAAAAGAAACGACTTGACTTGACTGACTTAGTTTGAAAGTAAAAGCTTTAGACGTGTAATTAAGATCTTAAATCTGGTTAACGGGCCTGCAAAACATGTTCAGAGCCATTGTTCGCAAGTGGCCGTCTGTCTAATTGCTCAAGAAACCCGTACAATGGCTCTGAATTAGTATCTCAGATCAGTGCTACTTTGTATGTGGCACAGAAGTAATAAAAAAAAAAAAAAAAACCGAGAGACAAAAAATCGAAATTTATTAATAAATTTATTTTGGGTGTGTTGGAACGGTATTTAGACATTTTCTTTTGGCAAATATTTTGGCTTTTAAAAAATTGAAAGTACGTATTTAAGCTTGGCTTGAAGTTATTCGCTAACCCAATTTTTTACCCAACAATTCGTATGTTTCGAAATACTTACGAGGCGGACAATGGAAATGGAAAAACTGAAAGCTAAAGAAATTGCAATTTATTGAAGCTGAACAAATTTATTTATTAATTTATTAATTACTTTTATTGCATAAATATTTAAATGTATTAATGTATTAATTATTTGTTTAACTTCCCGCTGTCATAATATCCACTGACACACAAACTCCTTTAAAAGATTACAACTTCAAATGATTTAATCGATTGGACTTACCCACAGCAGCCAAACCGAGCAGCAACAAAAGATTGAAACGCGAATATTGCATTATTGACTTTTATTTTATTTTATTTTTTTTTCTTTAAAAACACTTAATTTTATTATTAAAAACTATTTAAGTTTTAAATTAAAAAATTTAATAATTAAAAAAAAATGTTTGCAAAACGTTCGCTTAGCTCAATCAAAATCAAACCTTGCGTTTGCGGTCAGTTCCGTTGAACGTTCAGTACGTTGTAACAGTTACGCGCTTCAATCTAAACTGAAACGATTTCAAAAAAAGTTTGCAAAGCTTTGCATATTTCATTTCAAATAAAAACGAAGCTTAAACACAGACTTAAGTACATTTTTATGTCTACAACGTACCAGAAACGTGATATGTAATTTTCATTTGGCCTATGCGCTGGCTGCCAACCGCTGCGCGTAGACAACTTCGAACATGTTTGATTGAAAGTAAAAACAGTTGGCAATGCAACAAAAACGATAGTGAAAGCTTTTGCTCGTTGGCTTCGGCTGTTACCGTTGCGCATGCGTTTTACATACTCAATGGATTCAATGGATTGAATGGATTCAATGGATTGTGGAGTCTTCATGGCTTCAAGGGTTTTCGGTATTATTTGGTTTGTTGCAAAATATGCCAAGTAGTGTCAAACCCAATTTCAACTGCGCATGGATCGGATCAATCATTTGTAACTGTCTTTCTTCGCGTATCTCTTCTTCTTCATTGTTTGTGCTTGTTTCGTTTGGTTGAAGAAAATTTTTAATTTGAATGTTAATAATATTACATAATTTATTTTAGCGGTATTACGGTACATTGTGTGTATTTGTTCAGTGCTATTATTTCTGCAATGCATGTTATTACAGTTAACGTGAAAAGTTTACGTATAGCTGGTAGCTGGTAGTTGGTATTTGTTTAGTGTAGTAGTTGTTGAACTAAATAGATATATGAAACTCGCTGAAACTCACAAAAATCTTAATTTCATCTTTATTTCAGCGAAATTAACTTGTTTATTTTTTTTCACCCAAAATTCAGTTTTGAGGTTAGAACGAAATTAAAGAAAATGACCTTAATGTTGCATGAAACGAAGGCTGAAGGCTGAATGCAACTACTCGTAAAATAAATTTTAAACTAAAGATTAAGTAGAGATAACGAAAAAGGAACATTTTTTTTAAATAAATGTCAATGACAGTTGACTTTTATAAAACTGGGAAATATTTTGAAAGTAGTGGAAATTTTTAAATTTGAATATAGAGAAAGAACTGTAACTGTTAATTTAAAATAGTGTGTAAAATAATAAATCACATACCTACTACCTAGTAGGTACCTAGTTATAATTCTCAACATTTAAATTTTCCCTTATACAAATGATGTTTGAAGCATGTAATTTTTAGCATTCGATTTGTAAACAAAAAACATATGATTTCCTTAATTTTAAGCAGTATTAACATTTTCGAAATTAACTTAATTTCATTTTAACGAAATTAAGGAAATTTGGCTGTCTTAACATACTATTACATTATCAATAACACAGCTAGAGAAGAAATAGAAAGTTAATAGATAGTAGATAGATTAAATATAACAAACAACAATATAGATTGATATCAAATAGATAATAAATATATAATAGATAGACAGTATATAGTATAAAGATAATAGATAAATCGTAGATAATAATGCCTACAACGACACAAGTTAATAAATACGATATCAGAAATGGAAATTAAAATGTTTATTTAATAGTATGATCGCCTATATTCGAAATCGAATGGGCAAATAAAAAAGAAGAAGAATAACTATAAGCTATAGCTGCTTGATAATATTTTGAAAATCAAATACTCAGTACATTTATTACTCCTTTTTAGTCTTATATTCGTATTTGACGCAATAACATCACATCATCAATAGTACAGATAGATAATAAATAGACAGTTAATAGATAGCAGATAAATAAGATATAATAAGCAGATAATAGATAGATAATAGATAATAAGCTGCTTGATTATAATTTGACTTTCAGATGCATAATATAGGTATATGTTTTCTTTCTCTTAATATTTTATTTGAGCCAATACTGTAGTAGTAATAATATTTATTAATAAACAGATAACAAATAGATGAGATATAATAAACAATAGTAGATAGATAATATATAGTTAACAAATATTAAGTAGATGGTAGATAATAATAACTAAAAACACTAACTGCTTCATCATATTTTTGCATTTAAATATATAATATGCTTCTTCCTCTTATTATCCTCTTATTAGTAAATAGATAGATAAATAAAGATAAATATAAAGATAGATAGATAAACATGAAGTAAATAAGTAGTAAATAGAGAAGATATAATAAACAGGTAATAGATAGACAACAGATAGTACACAGTCAGTAGATAGATAATATATAGTGAACATATACTAGATAGATAATATGTAGATAATGAAAATTATATGCAATGGGCGATTGATAATATGCACTTCATTCTACTTTTTCTTCTTCTTTTTAATTAAATATCTGAAGAAATAAAGAATTACAATTAAAGAAAATAGACCTAATATTAGGTTATCTAAATATATATTTTAAATTGTTATGTTTTTTTTTGTAATTATACTTACTTGAGGCAATAAATTTGTTTACAAATACCGAAAGAACCCAGTGTGAAATTATATAAATGTAAATAAAAAATATATTTGATATTTCCAATCAGAATATAGGTTGAGTTAGGTAAATCTGTCTTGTTATAAGTGGCATATAGACCTATTTGTCCGTAGCGATAGCCGTTGGAGCCTTTTAATAGTTTCTAACTTCCGGTATTTTCTGTATACTTCACTATTCCAAGCTTGTATAACATATATGGACTGCTTGTAGATGGTGGTTAAGTTAGCACGCCTATGCGAGTTCTGTAATCTTTTCTATGGTTTTGTTAATGATCTGCTAAGAGTCTCATCAGTCAGAGTTTTAGATAAACTTGATAGCTTTTAGTATTATTGAGAATTTCTACGAATTTTCTTTTCACATAAATCTCATATTCATTTAAATATAAATATTAAACCGATATATACATAATTAAAAGAATAAGTATTAAAAAAAGTGGATCATTTATTGCATTTAATCTTGATATATAGTCAAATTAAATCTTGTTTACAAAAGTATTTGAGTTATATTTGAAATAATTCATCACATTTTTTTATTGGTTTATTAAAAATTGTAGAATTTATTAATAAGGTTTGTGTTTTTAATCTTAAGTTATAAAAGTCTGTATATATATACTTTTATTATAATTTTGTATATAATTTATTGTTGTAGACCAGTTGTTAGGTAATTTTTTGTGAATAGAATATTTTCTCTTGTTTTTACTATTTTATTATTAAATTATAGCTTAAATAATAAATTTTTTTGATTACCAATATGAGTTTTTAATTTTTATTTATAAATCTTAAAAGAAACAACGATGAGGAATAGAATTATACGATACATCAAGAAAATAATTAAAAGAAAATAGAATAGAATAGAAATGTTAATTAATAAAATAGAGCAGAAGGTATTAAAAATAGATAGATAGATAAATAGAGAAAAAACGAAATTTTGCAGTAATTTTTAAATTAATTAATTTAATAGTTAATTAATTTAAACAGTATGGAAATGATCGTACCATAATATAGGATTGCAAAACTAAAACCTTATCAAGTATATATATTCATACAAGTATTATATATAGCTAATTATTGTTTAAAGGTTTAAGTAATAGTAGTAGTATTGAGTAGTTCACATTTAATCACATTATATGGTTTAAGAATTTAGAATTATATATTTAGAACCAGGGAAACTTATTTCTATCATAGTATGTCTAATGAGTATGTACTGAAACCGACCATTATACATAATGCATGGTTATTATAGAAGAAAATTTATATTATGTATTACTTAGTAGATAAAAGATGAGAAATAAACTCATTCAATTTTAGCTCAATTAAAAATAACAGAATAAAAAATATCCCATTGTAATATTATTGAAAATAGTATAGGAACATGAAAGAAAACTATAATATATTTAAATAAAGAAATGATAAATAAATTTTAGTGTAATAGTAAAAGTAATAAAAATATAATAAAATGGTATTTTTAAGTAACTAATAATACAATACCTAAATACAAAGTAAAGTATAATACAAATTAAAAATAGATTAAATGTGGTACCAGCTTCGTATATATAATATAGATGTATCAAAAAAGGATTAAACATGTCAATAAATAGAAAAGAGCCAAATATACCATAGAATATGGTGAACAAATTAAAAGCATTAAAAGTAGTGATAAATAGATTAATTCCAAATGTAGATGTAGAATAAACAAAGAAAGAAATAAAAGTGATAGCCAGAATAGAATATGGAACACGTAAAATAAAGAATAACAGGATTAAAACTAATAGTAAGTAGAGTAATAGTAAGTGTAGGTTAAATATGATAGAGTGTAGAAAAACTCCAAAAATAGAACATGTAAAATAAAAAGGCAAGATTTATCATGATAGTAAATGGAAAACTTCCGACTATAAAAGGCCTATATATACGTTAGTAGAGTAGCTCTTAAACGAAAAGTATACCAAACGAATTAAAAGAGTTAGAATAGAATATCCCAAATAGATAGAATGCTATTCAATAGTAAGTAGTAAAATGTCATACATAGAAAACGTAAAATATTAGGATATTAAAGTAATATAAATTGAAAATATAGCTTCCTATTATAGACAAAAGAGAATAAAACGAAAAAGAAAGTAAAGAATGATAAGTAAAGATTGATTAATAGGAAATTCAATAGTAAGTAGTAAAATGTCATACATAGAAAACGTAAAATATTAGGATATTAAAGTAATATAAATTGAAAATATAGCTTCCTATTATAGACAAAAGAGAATAAAACGAAAAAGAAAGTAAAGAATGATAAGTAAAGATTGATTAATAGGAAAAAAAATAGAATAGAATAGAAACAATAGAAATAAAGTGAAGAAAATATAGACAAGTAAGTAAATTCATAATTATATCAAATATATAAAAGTAAAAAAACAAGTGATTAAGAATAACAAAGTAAATATAAAAATATATACAAATTGTAAAAGAGAATTAAAGAATTAATAGAAGATAAAATATTACATAAAATAAAAAAATATTGAGATATAAAAGAAAAAAAAAAAACAAAAGTATAGTAAGAATAATACAAATAATTATACATGGGAATTTAAAAATAATGTGCAATTTCAAAGTGAAAGTAATATAAAGTACAATATATTTATTTAATATATTATAAGACATTTGCATAAATATTCTGTACTTCATATATGATAAAAGCATTAGAATTATTATTACATATGGAGCTTCCACATGTTATAAAAACAAATATTTGAATAAAAGAATAAGAGAAATAAAAGTAAAAGAATGCCGTCGAATTAATGGGGGAAACGTACAAAATAAAAAATGAAATTTAATATAACGGAAAGACGTAGAAATAGACAATAATGTAGTAGAATTTTGTAAAATAATGCAAGACCTAAAGAAAAAAATAAGAAACTGAAAGAACTTAAAAAAATTATTAAAAAGCAAGGAAAATATGAAAAGAAGAGAAAAGAAACTAAAAAGGAGAAGAAAACAGAAAAATGAAAAGAAGAAGAAGATAAATAGAAGAAAAAAATAGATGAGAATAAGAAAAATGGGAAGAAAAAAATGAAGACAAGAAAGAAATGAGAAAAGAGATAAAGAACAAGGGAAGAAAAAAGAATAAAAGAAAATATTACAAAAGAAGAAAGGATAGTAGAGAAGATAAGAAAAGAGAAGAGTTGAGAGTGAATTCGATAAGATGAGATGAAATGAGATGAAATAAGATGATATAAGTTTATATAAGATGACAAACGAAAGAGAAGAAAATAAAAGAAGATGAAATCAAATAATAAAAAAGGAAAGAAAAGAAAAGAAAAGAGAAGAAAAGAAAAGAAAAATATGAAAGAAAAGAAAAGTGAAGAAAAGAAAAGAAAAGAAAAGAAAAGATAAGAAAAGAAAAGAAAAGAAAAGAAGAGAAGAGAAGAGAAGAGAAGAGAAGAGAAGAGAAGAGAAGAGAAGAGAAGAGAAGAGAAGAGAAGAGAAGAGAAAAGAAGAGAAGAGAAGAGCTCAAAAAATGACAGAAAAGAAATTAAAAAAGAAGGGAAGCAAAAATTTTAAAAGTAAAGAAAAAAAAATTGAAAGCTAAGTGATTAAAAGCAAAAGAAAGGTCAAACAAGAAAATATTGTAAGAGTAAAGGTATATTTATAAAAAATAAATAATAGATAACATAAACAAATTTGACAGATCAGTAGATAATAGAATTCCATTTAAAAATTACATATTATAATGTAAAGAAAGTGATTAAGACAAGAAAAATAAGTAGATTGAAAAATAAAAAAAGATGGAATTATAAAAAAACAAATAAAACAAAATAGGTGTGAAAAGATATAAAATCATATAATGGAATGTAATACAAATTAAAGAATAAAACACTTAATGAATACTAATATTTTGAATAGAAGAGCAAAGAAGTATAATAAAAAAAGAATTATTAAAGGAAATTAAAACCGATTAAATTTAAATATAAAAAAAAGTATTATCGAAAAAAATATGGAAAATGGCATTTAACATTAAAAAGTGTGATATTTTGGAATATAAATATAAAGGATTATTAACAAGAAATAGGAGTGACAAAATAGTATCAAGGACTAAATGAATAAACAAGATGAAATGAAAATTGAATAAAATAAATATATCAGAAGAGGACTTCATAAAGTATTGAAGAACTTGTGAATAAAGTGGATTGGTAAATAGTATTTACTATACTATTATTAAATTAAAAAGAATGATGAAAGAAAGAAAAAATTAAAGAATACGGAAGAGAAAATTAGAGTTACAATAAAATTGTATATAGTAAGGTAAGAAATTTAGTGAAAAGAAAAGTAAAAAAAGAGAAAAATTGTCAATGAAATTATATATAAATATATATAATTTAGTAAAAAATAACTAAAAAAAATATAGTAAGGTGAGAAATTTAGTGAAAAGAAAAGTAAAAAAGAGAAAAATTAAGAAATAAGAAATTAAATAAAATAAAATTATTTAAGGGGAATTTAGAAAAGGAAAGAAGACCAAAGAAAGCAAAAAAAAATTCATAGGACCAAAAGAAATTCAGATTTAATAGAGTTAGACGGAAACTATTAGAAAAAGAAATAAAGACATATTTGAAATAGGAGAGATAGAAATTTCTAGAGGTAAATGAAATAAAAGAGTCAATACAAGGAACTGTTAGAAAACGAATTAAAGACTGGTGTATAGAAAAGAGAGAAGAAAATAGGAATTTCTAGAGGTAAATGAAATAAAATAATCAATACAAGAAACTGTTAGAAAACGAATTAAAGACTTGTGTATAGAAGAGAGAGAAGAAAATAAGAATTTCTAGAGGTAAATGAAATAAGAGAATCAATACAAGAAACTGTTAGAAAACGAATTAAAGACTGGTGTATAGAAAAGAGAGAAGAAAATGGAAATGTCTAGATGTAAATGAAATAAAAGAATCAATACAAAAAACTGTTAGAAAACGAATTAAAGACGGATGTATAGAAGAGAGAGAAGAAAATGGGAAATTCTAGATGTAAGTGAATCAATCAATACAAGGTTTGGTTATAGTATTTAGAGTAATTATTTTAAATTAGGAATATTTTTAAAAATAAAAGTCTAAGAATATGAAAAATAAAAAAACAGATAATATAATAATAATTTATTATAGAATTATAATAGAATAATTCTATATTATAATTGAATAATTAGAATTCTAGTTCTTCAAAGTTAAAAAAAAACATTTTTGAAAGAAAGTAACAGAAAATAAAAAGAAGAACTAAAAAGAAGAATAATAATAAAAACAAGATAAGAAAAGAACTGATATTTTAATATAAAATTTAAGAGTTAATTAAAAAGAGGAATGAATTAAATTAAGTGTGAAAACAGAAAATAGAAAATAAAAAGTTAATATAAAATAGAATAGATAGAATAGAATAGAATAGAAAATTAAAACGAGGAACAGAATTAAAAAGAAAAGAGAAGAAATATAATATGAAAATAGAAAAGAAAAAGAATAATAAATTGAACTGAAGAAGATAATATTATTAAATATTATTGAATTAAATTTTGAAATTATTATGAAAAATTGTAAAATAAAATTAATTAAGAGGTAATAAGTTAAATTAATAAAATCTGTTTACATATAAATAAAATATATAAATACAAAATAATTGAAATAATTAAATACACAATACACACAATATCAATGAAGTAAAACAAATGATATATAGGATATATATTGTTAATACTACAGATATTGAATAAAATATATACTTATAAAAAAGGTAAAAGAAAAACAAGGCTGAAAGCCGGAAAATAAACTGCAAAAGAGGTAAGAAAATGGAAATAGTTAAAAAGAAATAATTAATATAAAAGTATTAAGAGAGATTTAAAGTTAAAAAGTAAAGATAATATAATCGACGATTGCATATAAGAGTAAGTGAACTTTTAGTATACAATAAATCAAAACAAATGGTAATAATTATTTTTTGAGAAGTAATTTTGTGAAACGATGAGTAATATAAAAATTATACTAATATCGGTATATAGAAGAAATTAATAAAAATTTAAAACCCTTTCCCTTAATATATTTTAAAGACTATTTTAGGGATTAAAAATTAAGAAATGAGATGTATTAAGTGGAAGTTGTTAGAAGTTAAGTATTAGGAAATTATAGAAAAATAAGTTTTACAAACTACTGCCAAATGCAGAACCATTGAAACTGTTTATTAAATATCATTCATAACTAAGCCTTATGTGGAAGTAGAGATCATGCTCATCATACGCGATTTCTTATAATCTGCATCACATTATACCAGAAAACATGACACTATTTTATGATTTTATCGTTACTCATTCAAACATTTATCATATATGTGAGAACTCTTCCTCTGAACCTCTTCCTCTCTCTCTCTCTCACTCTCACAATTTCTTCACCTCTCAATCCATGGAATATATGTTTTATGACATTAAGCTTTAGAGAATCAAGTACAAAATTAAAACTAGTGTAAGGTAGATTTAAGCAGAAAGGAAAATACCATTATAAAGCCCCTTAAGTGAAGAGTAGAAATAAAAGGAGTTAGAAAGAAAGACATTTTAGTAATGTGATTTTTGTGTTTTTACAAACTACATTATTTTAATAATAATATTTTAAATATTTACAAAATTACTTGAATTTTTTCACTCACATATTAAACGGTTTTGATAATTATTTTATAAAAATTTAGCATTTAAATTATATAAAAAAAAATATATATATATAAAATTAAATTCAGTCAAAGTGCTTTAAGTAAAGTTTTAAATTAAACAAAAAAAGTTTAAGTAATTAAGAAATTAAATGTATATAATATTATAGTAAGTTCAAATGTTCTAGAACATGGTGAAAACCATAATGATAAACTGATTTCAGCACTTAATGTATGAACAGAATAATCAAAATAATATAACAAATTATTATTACTACTGATATGTCCTAATGTAGGTAGTGACTATGATGTACTAAACGTGCTTATGGCTTTTTATCATCAGCATCCTTGTACCAGTCCTCACAGCCAGCTACATTTTCTGGTGCATCACACATTTCTGATTCGTCATTATAAACTTCACCAAGTTGGCAACCCAAATCACGTGGATCCTCATTATTTAAGCAGACATAGAACTTTTGGCAATCAGTAGGATGTGGGTATTTGGAATGTGTTACGACTTGACCGTGTACATCGGTTTTTGGTTTATCCTTAGGGCAAGAGAAACCGCTCTCTGATTTTTCTGTGTTATACAAAAAAAATTGTTTTTTATTTTATAAATATTTTATATATCATTAACCGTAACTAAATGGTTTATCATAAATATTTTAATTGTTTAATAACATTCTAATATTTTAAATTTATATTAGCTCTTTTGTATTTATTTATTGATATCCATATGTTTTTTTTTTGAACTTACTCTGTGGTGCATCACAGCCCTCACGTTTGGCTGTATCTGGCCATACGCAAGTTCCACTATATTCATCGAAATGAAGACCTACAGTACATTTCATTTCCAAAGCATCACCATCAATGCAATTGTAGAATATATTACAGACGGCTGTGTCAGGATGTGCGAAGAAACCATTTTTACGTGGGCAGAATTTGGTGGATTTTGGTGGTTCTATATAAAAAATGAATATGTTATTTTAATTCATAATTATTATCTTTATATAGTGACAGCTATTAAAGTAAATCGTTATACTTACGCAATTCGGTACGATCTCCACAATCTACATTGAAGGGTTGATCGCATTTATTGACGTGTCTGTTTAAGGGATCAAATACTAAGCCATCCGGACATAGCTTTGTTTTCGCTACACCATCATCACAATGATAGTATTTGTCACATTGGATTTCATCTTCGAATTGACCATCTGGTTTTGGACAGTCAAAAGCATCTGCAAAGTGAAGTAAAGTAAGATAATAATTAATTATAATTAATTGTAAGTATATTTAAATTCATTTATCGAATTAACTTTTTATAATATAAAATAAAAGTATAAATATCAAACAGATTAAACAGATGTAATATATATACCTAAATCGCGACTGCTGTCACGATATCTTAAATGCACTATCTTCAAAACCGTGATTTATCCTATTTAAGTGTATGTATCTGAAATGTTTGGATTCTAACAACTTACGGCAAATATATAGCCCATACCGAAAAGTAAATGGTGATTATAGAAAAAGAAGAAGTAATCAAGAGCTTTAATGCTAATCGAAAGAACACAATGTCATAAGATTTATAACATACTTGTAAATGGCCCGGGATGTAAATGGCGACTATGAAATACGAATTAAACAAGAGCTTTTAGATCAATGGAAAGAAGTAAATGTTATTAGATTCATAATATTTGTCCGATATGCCGGATCTGTCCTAAAAATGGAATGTAGTCACCGACGATTATAATTGATTATTATTGACTCGTTTGTATAGTGGATGACATACGAAAAATGCAAGCACATAATTGAGTGGAGGAAGCAATAGACAGTATCGCGTGAATGGACTTTATAAACCGTGCTAAAATTCATTTGGCACTACAGCGATTATAGTGCAGATTTAACAATCCATTATGGTATATGATGAAACTAAGGCTCATATCGAGTGGGAAGATGGATGATGAATGAATAATTGCATTTACAAAAACAAATATCTAGAAAGATATCGTATATTGAAGAATAATATAAAATCACATTAAAGTGTTGGATTTATAGAGTGCCTTGGATAGAGTACAAGGGGCTTTGGGGTTTAAACCCCTCTAAAATATTTTATACTAATTGTGATGAAATTTTTTTTTGATTATTTGCTTTCATATAAGCTTTAAATTACTTTTCAAAAATTCTCATTTAATTGAGTCTCAGTAGATGCCCTTGAATTCATTATATCTAATGTGTAGAAATAGAAGGTTTATAAGCTCATATTTTTTTTCAATATGTTTATTGCAATATATAAAAGTAAAATATAAATTAATATAAAATGAAAATTTGTTGAAAATTATATGGACTTAAAAGTGCAAATTGCAACGATAATTGAAATATTTTTAACAGTAAAAATATTTGTGTAAATTATTTTTTATGATTTTTCTTCACATTTCCGGAAACTTACTTCCATCAAATGCCGCATTGATATCTTTGCAGTTTAAAGCAGATTTTCTCTTTTCTCAAATTAATTTTTTTTCTTTATTGAATTAAAAAAAAAAGCTGTTGAAAACAAAACAAGGTTTTGGGAAAGAGTTCAATAAATTGGCTTCAGTTTTTCCGCATCTTTAATGAAATCAATCATTGAACTTTTTACGTGGCAAACCGTGAATCCAGTTGCACTTAAAATAAAAATTATTTTCAATAACAAAAATTTCTTCAAAACGTTTTAAATCATTTGTTAATGGCCAAAATAAATACTCCCAAACATGATGTAATGCACTTGATTGATTTTTATCACCTATAATTATTTACAATTTCATGAAGCTTAACCCTTTAAGGATTGCATAATAACACAAAAGACTACAAGTAAAGACCATAAATACCCAAAAAAAAAAACAAAAATTCAGAAAAAAAGATTGGAAAACAAATTAACACAAATAAATTAACAAAAAAGCCTTCAAGATAACTTGCTTTAAGACGGGTTTTTTATTGCTTCACATTTAGCCGGTTTAACTGGCATTTAACATATGAGCTTATCTGTGCACATACGTACACGTATAGCGATATAGATACAATATCTATATATATAAGTATCTTTATACACTAATATATACATGCTGGTCTGGCATGAACTGCGATATTTAAGAGTCAATGAAAAATATCATTTATGCAATTCCTTTAAATGTCTTTCTCTGCTTAGATACAATATACTATTAAAATATTTCTTAAGATATTAATACTCGTCAGATAAAAATTTGCATTATTAATAAAACTCGTTAAGTATCTTAACAATTTTAATTTAAATAATTTTGTAGTTAGTCCGCATATACACGTTTCTTAAATAAGATACTATTTCCCTGTTACAAACAAGTAGCAGATTGCATGTATCTCACGGTTTGTCTTGGATAAGTTTTGACTTCAGTTGCCAAGTTAAAAACTACCTCAACTATAGGTATTATATTAAAGAGTATTATTATAGGCTTATTCTTTGAAAATAACGATAAACTAAACGATCAAAGTAATTAATCAATTTCAAGTTGATGTATCTCAATTTTTTTTAAATTGCAGAATTAGTAAAATTTATAACAATATTATTCCTAAAACAGTCTTTGACGCTGAATGGGCGTAGATCATTATTATATATATATATATACATAGACAGATTCTTTAAAAACTATATGCAATATTGCTTAATATAGTCTACGGTACACCGGGAGTATAGATCCTAACTATTACGTATTCCAGTTCTATTCTATTGTATGAATTTCACTGGGCACTGGATGCATAGATCCTATCTATTATGTATTCCAGTATAATTGGTTCTATTCTATACTATAAATTTATTTTTTCCTAGAAAATATTTAAGACAAAACCATTATAACTATATTTCTAAAATCTCATTAAATAATCAGAGACAAATAATATCTAAATTGTTCAGTTCTCTAATAGAGCCTTACTGCGTAAGTATTATTAAATTTTAAGAATATTAGACAGTGGAAACCTACTTTTACAGATATATTTATATATTCTTTAAGGAAAAATAGTGCTTTAAATAAAAATCAAATATATCAATGGTCAATGTTTGGGCTGTAGTACAGTTTCGATACATAAGAACTATTTCCAAGAGTTCTTAAAATAGTTCTTAACGATCTTATATCATTAACTGTACACGATTATTGCATCATAGTTTAAATATTTCATAAATCAAAGATTTTGAGAAAAACTAGCACATATCTATAAATCATTATTTATAAAGGGTTATCTAATTTGTGGTCTTTGTTTAGTAGTACTGTCACATGTATTTACTTCAAGATTGATCTCTTTACAATATGGATCGTTAAATAACCAATGAATGTGTTAAATGTGTTAAATTTTATGAAGATTTTATTGAATCTTCAGGAATGAAACTCAGTTTTCGTTATAAGTGGATATGTCAAGCAACAAAATCGTAACATCAGTGATAAACTCAAGTGACTGTTGTAGGACCATTGCATCCATAAATATTTACTATATGGTGTGTCCAGTTTGGTTTGGTTCTACGGTAAGATAGGCTAATACTTTTGGAAAAGGTGTCATACAAACTGTCAAATCCGATTATTTGAATTATAGGTCAATAATTTTGAATTATAATTGAAGTGTGTAACTGAAGTTATGGTTTCAAAATCTTTGTGAATTCAATAGGACTGCATAAGCAGCAAAACCTTGTTTTCACTTTGTTACACGAGAAATTTTATAAACGTATAATATCACTTTTGGTGATGCAATTGGGTCAGAAATATATATTTATGAGCACAATCCTCAAACTCTCGAAGCTTTGAAGGTGAACATCTGTCATTTCAAAAGTTATTGCAAAATGATCCAGTAGTTTATGATGGAGTGTACCATTGAGGATATATGAATGATATTTTATTTTACATCTAATGATAATATATATTGATAATATATTGAAGTAAAAATTTGATAATAACCTCAAGCATAAGTTTTTTTAGGGGTTTACTCTCGGAACGACAAAATGAATAACCTTGTAGTTATTATTATCATTATTATTGACATATTCTTAAATAGAAATAATTTATAGTATAAACTTATGATCCTAGCTAGTGATCTACAAAAAGTTTCCAATCTTCCTCAATCCCCAATCTTCCTAATCTTAATTTTGTGTTATAAATCATTGAACCGTATGGACGTTTCGTTATACATAAATTATTATCTCATTGTCTTTTTTAAGCACCCATCGTCTCATACTAGTCGATGTCTATTCTAACGCCCAACGCACGATTAAACAGTAGTGTCTCACTACAGTAGTTGACGATTCTACATGTAGTCCAGTTATATGAAATACTCATACAGTAACTAGCTACTGTAGCTTAACGTTGCATAGAATTACAGAAATGTCTTTGCTCAACTTATTTCTTGATATTTCTAGCGGCTATAGCGAGTTACTGCAGTTCAATCGTTCATTGGGTCTGTGTTGGCAAGGTGGTTCGTGTTCGATCCATTTTTATTTTTTTCTCCTAATATAGTTGGATTCAGTGTAATTCTTAAAATTTTCTCCATATAATAAGTTATGTGTTTTATTTAAAAATAACTGTTGTGTTTTTTTTTACTATCAAGGTTTCTGTCAAGATTTTTAATGATCAATCATTTTTTTGGAAGAAAATTGGCACGCAAAATGTGTCTGAATATTTTTTTTTGTTTGACAGAATTGTGGTACACCGTGAAATATAACATTTTTCAAGGTATCTTTTAGTTTACTTAAACAAATTAATTCAATTCAAATTAATTTTATTGAAAAACCAGATACCTGAAACCTTCTATTCAGAATTTTAAACTTTATTCAGTTCAATGAAATACACATAGAGGTATTCGGCTCATTTAGAGACAATTGAAATACATTTGCAGATATTGTTCCATCTGTATTTCACAAAGATGTTGATGAAGGTATTGGTGTTCTTTCATGCTATATGGAAAACCAAATAGTTTAACAAGGATAGTATATGAAGGTTAGCATCTCGCTTCCCTGGCAAAATCTTTCAGGGCATCACAATAGACAATATATGTGTTCGATCAAAGTGCTGATAAATGTCAGCACACGGCTTTTTAACCTAACCCAACCTTTCATCACATCTTCGAAGATATATAACATGAATCATATCTTTAATGTATAAAATTTTTTTCTTCATCTCACTATTCTAATCTGAAAATTACAGTCTAAAATTATAATAAAAACTTGGTCTACAAAATATAATGATTTTTATATTTTATTTTTATATTTATCTTGAAACTAACCGTAAACTGTAATTTTAGGTCACATCTATTTTAAAATTAACTTTTCTTAGCTCAGACGGTAGTATAACCCCATAATATTGGTTGATGAAAAACAGTGTTATTATAGTAAAATAAATACATATATTTTTTATAATAGGCAATTTAAAGAAGTTTATTAGGCAATATTACTCTGCGAAAAAAAAATGGTTTTTAATTATTTTTTTATAGTTTCTTTAACCTTTTCATGCTAAGTTTAAGATCCCGGGTTTTAACTATCAAGCAAACCTACTTCGTTTTCCACGGTTGTTTTTATGTTATATTTTATTTCTATTTTGAAAGATTGTAAAATTTTAAATTTTAAATTAATGCATATATAATTAAACTCCTAATGAAACCTATTAATAAACAAATGTTTTCAACATTAAAACTTGTTTATTATTTTTTTTAACACTTTCGATTTCATAAATTGTTAGGCATTTCTGGAAATGGGAGCAATGTCAATCAAAAAAAGAAAAATAAAATAAAATTTTTATTTAGTAACAAAGACTAATTTAAAATAGTTAAATTTTCAAGTTCACAACACCAAAAAAAATTTTTTATTTCTTGTTTTAATTTAAAAAAGATAATAAAAAATTTAAATAGTTTAAAAAGAAATTAGTACAAAAATAATTTTAGAAAAACATGATTATTTAAAAAAAAAATTAAATTTCACACAAAAAAAAAATTTCATATAATTAAATGCATTATATTAAATATATATAAAGAAATAATATTTTATAAAATAAATATAAATATTTTTATTAATTATTTTATTCACTCACTTATTGACACTATGCTGAGTGCTGCGATGGCACAAATAACGAACTGCCTCATTTTGTTATAATAAAATAATTGTATTTTAAAATAATTTTTAAATATCCTTTAACACAGTAAAAATATTAAATATTTTTATATATCAAAATCAGTCCAAAATCGTTGCCAATTAATGAGCCACGGTTCCAACTTTTCAGTGTAAAAACTTAACTAAACCGTGCGGTGGTTAAACTTAAACTACCAAGACACCGCACGAGACTCTCACTTTTGAAGACTTCGCCTCGCTTACTGACATTTGGAAATGGGGAAACAGTCGCGGCGGTGTGGTTAATTTCCATTTTACGGCTGGAGCTGTCAATGTGTTGTGGTTCGCTGTGTGGATGTGTGGATGTGTTTGGGTGTCTGAGGTTTCAAGCCAGTCTTCCATCTGAAAAAAAGACACAATAAGTATATGATATGAAAAATAATTTAATCGAAGTGAGTTGAATGCAAATGGTAATAATATTTTTAATAAACAATACACTGAAATAATTATATGTACAACAAAAAAAGGTTAATAAAACGGTAAGATGGTAAGATTTTTTGTAGGTACACTAATGACAAGTGGATTAGTCATTTGGTAAAATTCTTATTTATCCATATATTAAAGAATATTTAATACGATTCTTTATTATTAAAGTTTGATATAAAAAATATATATATATATATCTTAATATTGTACAGTCATCTTTCAGAATTTCTAAAACTTTACTTATGTAAAAAGTCAGTGGAACTAAATTGAATTTAAATCTATATACCATATTTATTAGTGTACTATTCTTGTTTAACGATTTGTATATACGTAGAGCCCTAAAACCTGCTTCTTCTTTAAAAAGAACTTGTGTTTGAGAGATATCTAAAAGTATTCTACCACAAACCTAAGTTTTGTTTTTGTGCAGAAAAAGGTTTAAAAATACCGAACTCATCGTCACTACTATATATCGTGACAATAATAATATCCCCGATTTGCATGGACTAAAAACAATTCCCCTTTTATACCAGACCGTTTTTACTTTATCGGGATACTTCAAGGCAGAGTACCAGTTTTAGTTACAATAAATTTTTTTCGTTTGCCAGCGTCGAGACCTCGCTTTGTTAACCTCTTCTTTATAATTATTACTTTTCAATTAATAATTCCACTCATCCACCACAAGGATGAGTGGAGTGCCAATTCTTAGATATTAGAGAGAAGTAAAAAATGTTGATAACGATCTAATGGTAATATAGTAAACATAATAGTATTTTATATTATATATAGAATGTTTATCTACTGAAATTATAAACTAATGAGAGTAATAATTCTTCCTTGTGTTATCACTATCTTAACACTCTTCTTATTAGGTTTTTTGATTTTATTTAAATCACAATGGATTCTATTATCTAGGTATATGTACCTAAATGCTAATAAGTAAAAAGTATATTTATGACTTATGTTTTTATATATTAGCTGTTGTGTATAGATAATAGAAACCATTATAAATCAAATGGAATCAAGAAGCCTTATAAGAAGAGTGAAAGCAATAAGTTACATCTAATCTTATCTGAGTTCTTCAAACAATGAATACACCGTAACTTGTGATTATATGTGAAATATATTACATATATATTACATATAATATATGTCAAAAAGTGACAGCTTATTTAAGTGGACAATTTCTCTATGCTCAAATTTCTTAAACCATTATGTGGATAAACTTGGAACCTTTTTGACATATATTTCTCTTAATAGGACTAAAGTTGCTGAAAGTAAGAGTTCCGAAAACAGTATTTTCACTGTAAGTAAACATATCAGTAGATCGATCAAAATTACAAAAATCGAAGATTAATTAAAAAGCCTATTTACATAAGCCATTTTTTGTGTATGCTTATAGTAATTACATGTTAGTTCTTTAATTACATATACTCGTATATATACCCTATCTAGTACTGTTAGGATATCATAAAATGATTTGATTTGATATGTCATCAGTTCTTTCATTTAAGTATTTATAATAACAAAAAAGCGAAATCCAATATCTTCAATTATATATTAAAAAAGTTAGTCTTGTAACATAAAAATTTAAAGCAATTACTATAAAAACCTTGGTGTGTTTTCTATATATTTATATCTAAAATAAGAAATTTGGAGAAGTAGAGGTGATAACTATTTATGTCACAGCAAATTGTAGATTTAATTAATACAATAAGTAATATAACATTAAGTAGATATGTCTATTATAAGAAAATCTAGTATGTCCATTAATAGTAAGTCTAGTGGTGTAGCCAGAATTTTATCAATAGGAATTGAAATTTCTTGTGGGAAAAATATTTAAAAAAATAAAAAAAATTAAAGAAATAATTAAAAATAATTAGTAAAAGTATGAGGGAAAATCAAATCGTTATAAAATTGAATTCATTATCATCAATGTTTATAGCTATACAATCCGAAGTAAGTCAGAGCTCTGTTCACAGGTATACGGTCACAAACATATTTAATGGGTTTAGAAATTTCGCATGATTAATTTACAAAGTAGATTACTCCAAATCTGAATTTCTCATCCGCTGGTCAGTAAATTATTATCCATTATCCAGTACATCCATTTTTAATGATATTTATTTTTTGAGAAGATATTGATGTAGTACTTGGGTTGAAAACTACTGGTCTAAGTTACTCAGTAGTAAATGCGTTTTTTTGGTACATTTTTTAATAAAAAATTTTCAACTTTTATTAAGTATATATTGGCCATTATTATTTATGACCTCTTGTCTTTTTTTAGTACTAAATAATCCTATTATTTTTAATCGCAATGAGTTAATACTCTTGGTATTAACTACAATTATATAAATGTCGTTAAAAAAATACCTCCTCATCCATGAGTATGTATATATATATTGAGATTATATATTATGTATTACTTATATGTTTACTAAAAAAATAAAATGTTTATTTGCATTTTTCATTTGATTTTCCCACCTTTGTAGATTCATTTTTAAGGTTTGCCAGTAATATTTGAAACTCAATAGAATAAAACTGTCTTACTTATACAAATAAAAAATTTGTGGAGGAGTCGGTACTTTAAAGTGAATTGTTTTTTATTTAATAAAAAATATCAGTAAATTATGCTTTCCTTAGTTACTTGGTAGTTTCTCTTACGAAACAAAAAAAATGTATCTACTATTTATTTTTATTTATATAAAAAGATATTTTTATGTATTATATTATGTACTTTAATTACATTCTGCTGTTATTGTTTTACTTAAAAATAGAAATATATATTTAGCGTAATGTATATAAATTTAAATAGATATAGTAAATATTTTAGTGTTTCTTAATGCTGATAATACTTCTTTTTTCTTATAACTTAAAGGAACCTAACTGGGGGTCAGAATTCCTAATTGCCTAATACATGGTTTGCTTTTCCACTTGAGGCTAAAATTAAGGTTATAGTCGCTGTCTTATAACTTTCACTCCATTGTATTATCGCGTAAAACTTCAAGGGCTTAAAACCAACTTTTAATGCAGCCTACGATTTTTTATGAAAGTAGAACTTACGTAGCTGTCTAAGATTCTCTAGAAAGTAAGTACCTAATATGTTTAATCTGTTCCAGTATAATGTTCTGTAAATCTATTTCAAGTTCTCTACTTTTTTATGTTTATTAAAATGTAGTTTAGCAGTTCAACATTTTAAAACTGTTTTTTGTATTCCCTGCGTTGGTAATTGCACTAATAATTAGTAAAAGTTCCAAGTTGGACAACGGCATATTTAATGGGGTTTTCTTTAAGAAAATGTAAATATCGAAAAAAACACGATTTTATTTCTTAATACTGATATTGTTTTCGAGTGAAAGATCTTATTACTAATAGCTCGTCTATCAGGCATTGCTGAATCCAGGTAAACATATTAATCTTCTCCAGATCAATGTGTGACTATTCAGATTTGTACACCAATTCTTTTTAAGAGTTCTACATCTATGTTGTTTTAGAACGTGGCATATTCTAAGAGTATTTAAAGATGCTTAAATGAATACTCTTCGGATATTTAAGAATATTTAAGTCTCTTCCATACATAGTCTTTACTCATTGGTATCTAATGGGTTACACCGCAACTTAGGTATGTTTAGAATAAAGCAACCATTTATCACTGATGATTGAGTGATTAACTAATAATTAATGATTGAGTCATTGTTTTTTCCATCCAATCTGTTTAGATTTAATAGGTATTTTTAGAATATTATCGGAATTATATGCTTGGTACTGCGCTATCTACCCCTGTTAGACTATTTATGACTGACCTGTCTGGTAAACTCTGTGATAGGGTCATGCTTTATGGTTATAAAATAATTTATTACTGATTCCGTGACTTCGCTCTAATGCATATCGTTGTCTTGAGACAGCTTTCTTAGCCAATTTGTGCACAACATCATTGACATCAATAACAGCGACTGCAGGTATCCAAGGGAATATAACTGGTAGGAAATTCTGGATATTCACTGAAATTTCTTGCTGACAGGTTTCATAAACATCTCCTAAACTAGTAGAGTACTTGTGAAGATGGAGCCCAATGTTTCAATAGCTGCCTGACTGTTACAGATGAAGATTATCTTTTTATTCCTTCAGTTTCCTATCAGTAGTTGTCAGTCGCAGATATTTATGACGTAGATTGCGGTAAGGAATAGAGAAGCCATTATTCCTAGACTGAGGAATATCACGAAAAATACAGACAATAAAGAAGAGAAGAGAGCCTAAAAAAAGAAGTATTAATATTGTGTAAAATTGGCAATATGATCTGTGATCATGTGAAGAATTATGGACAATCCTCCATGATATGTTTTCTATATTGAATTATTTCTATATGTTAAATGAACCCCAATTAATACGCTGTATAGCTACGATCTGTAAATTATAAATAAATTTCATAAAAGTCTTTTACTTTACCTACTTTGTAAAGTGAACTGCGCACGCCTCTTAAGTATCTACAAATCCATTATTGAAATTATGTTGTTATAATGGAAATTTAAACAATTTATGTACTTAATTCGAAATGCTGCTTAACATGTAAAAGAGCTCACATTTTGATAGAAAATCAAATAAAAAATTTTAACTCACATTTGAGGTTCATCTCGGCTCCATGGCAGCCCGTCTTCACCACGTTCGATTTCGATTTGAATCACAGATACGCGGACGACATACAAATTTCTGCTTTGAGCTGCGTTGTAGGTTGAAGTTTGTTTGTT